TTCAATCATTTATGAAAAAACTCGTCAACAAACTGCAAAAATTATTATAATTTCAATTACTGTATTTAATATTTCCTAAGTCACTTTAGTATTTTCATTGTGAGCGATGGGAAGATCGCTGAACTTGAATATAAAAATCATGCCAATAAATGGAGTATAAATCATCATAATAATTATTTTTGACAATAGATATTATTAATTTCTGATGATATACGTCTACAAACTGCAATATTAGCATAAATTCAAATTTAAAAGCTTTTTTTTATATCTTATATGTCACTTTCGTATTTTTCAATGTGAGCGAAAGGAAGTTCTCAGAACCTGTGTATAGAATTTATGCAAATAAATGGCGATTAAATCAAAATTATGATTATTTTTGATAATAAATTAAATATAATTAGTTTCTAAAGTTATTCGTTTGCAAACTGCAATTGTATTGTAAAATTCTATTAAAACGATATAATTCATATTTTTAATGTCATTTTCGCTCACTTTCGTAAAAAGTCACTTTCATATTTCAGGCAAACCCAGATGCGTGTGTAAACCACGTGGTGTTAACAACGCATTTTCATTGGATGTTGTTTTTCTTTAACGAGAACTTAAGTCACGTATCTAGATAAAAGCATCTCTTTTTCATTTTAAATTATTTCATCACATTTTTTTTTTTTTTTCAAAAAATAATTATAACTTTATTATATACTGACATTCGTTCATGTTTTTTTAAAAAAAAGAAATATTTAATTGACTATTCTCGCGAGACACGCGAGATTAGGCCAAAACAAAATGACCATGTGGTTCCAGTAACCTGACCGACCCTGTATTTCCGCACCTTATCTAGAACATTTTATTGCAAAAATGGAGTATCCTATAGTGTTTATATCTGACATACAGTTAAAGTTTAATAAAATACTAATTAAAAAAATATGTTCCGACCTACCTACACTATTATTTGTCAGCATGTTACCAGAACCTCAAGAATGAAGATCATTTTGTTTTGGCCTAATGACGTCAAACACACAGGCCAATTTTTCCCCATGGAATTTTTATCTTATGTATACCTCGAGGCCGGCGTGTAATAAGCTTATCAATTGACATGCTCTGGAGTGCGAATAACTAATACCTGCATTCCAGCAAACGCATGATCCCTGATATGAACAAATATAATGATAAATGGGCACTATATATGCGCATTTAAACTGGAATGGTGCATTCACACACAGAAAATACTTGATACTTATTAATAACCCGTAATAGATTGTTGAACATGGATTATTCTATGATAATAACGGCCAAAGGAATTTTCAATTGAAGGAAAATGAAATCGGAACTCGAACATCTATTTGTACGAGCGTATATATAATATAAACATCAAATAAACACGTTTCTCAGATGTCAGTTGTACTCAATTGAAAAGTGCGTTACGTCAAGTTAAACCTTCAAAATATACATAAATGTTATCGGGGCCACCGCACTGCGTTGTAATCAAATCCACCGCCGTCTGCGTTGAAATAATTTATTGTCATTTATTTGATAAAATGTAAATAATAATTTTCCAAATTTCCAAAATATGGTTATTTTGTGAAAGAATCATTCATACGATGTGATGTCGTTGCATTATGGGGTCGTTTTGAACACTTTTGTACGTGTTTTAACCAAAATTAGGCACAAGTGGCGTCCCCTCATCAAACTGTACAGAAGTGTTTGCATTAACGGCAATGAATTGCACCGTGTACGTGTAATAAGTTGAAAGAGTACATATGTGGGTTCCAGTCTCACTAAGTGTTTCCAGTAAAACATTAAAACATAAAACAAAATTCAGTCATATAGCGATCGGCCATATTTTATCCACCGCTTCTGCGACGAATACTCCATCGCCGCTGCGATGGACACACCGCTTCCGCGAAAGCTATGGCCAGTCGGACAATTTTGAAGTGGGGCGACAGTTTGCCGGGCGTGTATTTGCTTTTGGTGTATATGTGTACATGTATTAGTACCGATCAGAAGGTCTCTGGTTCGATTCATCACAAACACCATGTTATGATTTTTTTTATTTACTTGCAAGAATCCATTTGAAATCGTTTTACTACACCTGGTTATATAATACATGTAGCTTTTAAGTGGTGTTTTATACACAATTATATTTTTTATGTCATTACAGTATCTATCCTTACAGTATCTTGTCAACGGTTCTCTTTGTGACATTATGCAATCGTATATGCTTTAGTAAATACACGCTATAAAGGCTGTTATCAAAATATTACATGGAAAGTACACACACAACAAAGTGGTTAGCAATAGTGTTACTAACATAATGGAAATTTTAAAATTTAAAGAAAATCGCTGAAATCGGATTCTAACCTACCAGTTTACGTTTACATTCTTCAAGTGATTTTTTAATTTACACCATTTTAACAACTGGATATTTACATTCTTATCGATTTACAAGAAGATTGTAACGTTTACATGTTTACGTAATATACCTTCGCGATCTCGAACTAAATAACACGTATGGCGCATGCATTAATTCCGTGTACAAACTCGTTGTTGCGTAAACGGTAATAGTACCTATTTAGGTATAACCTCTACATGGGGGCGGTAAAAATGTCTTTATAAAACACGGTGTTATTAAATCATGAACAATTTAAAATTTAATAAAGAATATCTATTTTATGTTAAGATAAACGGCAAAGAATTTAATTTAACACCAGCGAAAAACTTGTGATCTTCGTATCATAATAAACTAACCACTTATCGGCCATTTCATATATACGACTTGTACAGAAAGATCTCGGGCAGGGACTAATTTGAACTATGAGCCCAGTCAGATTTATTAATTTGAAGGTTCTGATATTGCCTTGTCGCTGCTATTATTTCTTGTTAGTGAGTCATTTGGGGTATTTACACGAAACTAATGATTTGGGTAGCTTTTTATTTATTTGTGACCAGGGTTAAAAATTTGAAAATGAAGCATTGATAGTTGGCTCCAAACAAGTAAGAAACTTTGGATAGATTTTGTGAAAAATCTAAAGTTAAAACGTGTGACTGACAGTTAATTGAGCATTTTTGAAAATGCCATTGGCATTGGTGTTAGTGATATTTTTTAAAAGGAATCGGGCGAACTGAACCTTAACGAAGATGGTGGTAACAGTCCAATTGGGAGCATATATTGCAAGTGCGCGATGACGTTGTCCTACCATTAACTTTCTGACTGACCCTCACATAAACGTGCATGCGACATTTAAATGGGACATACGCATTGACACACAGGTAAAGATTTCGATTTATTTATTGATTTTTTAAAGAACTCTAGATAATTAGATCTAAGAATGCATACATTTATATGATAAAACGATTGTGACTTTTTACCTGATAAACTTGAAGCGATATCAGTCATTTTTGTATGACGTGATTCCGCTTTGTCAGCACTGCATTGGTCCAAAGTGAAAGTAGGCCAAAATTCATATCACAACAAACCTCACAATGTAAAATGATGAACCATTTGAAAGTACACTTCCAGGTCTATGTTTTAAGGACTATTATATAAACAAAAACTTAAATGATAACAGTATGAATATTAACCTTGATATGCTACATTTCTGAAGACCAAGTACAATCGATTGCAAAGTTTTATGCACATTTCATGAATGGCAAAATCCAGTTTAAAGTCAGTTTAAGTGCAGACAAAAGCTACTTTTTCCAGCAGATACAAAAAAATTCAAAACTTATTTCTAAATAAAGCAGTATCTCATCGCAGGTGCTCGCCCAGTCTTGGTGCCAACCCCCCCCCCTATCCCCCCCAATCACCATTTATAGCCTTATGAACTACAAATAAAAAAAACATTCAAATTCTAAATTTAAACCTTTCTTTTGTGCCAGAGTGACGTGTGTCTGTCTGTCATGTACAAAAAAAAAATAGATAAAAGATGTTTAGTTCTCAGGTACTATTTTTTTACACATGGCATGGAGGCCATGTTTTTTCAAGGTCAGATTAACTACTTTCCTTTGATTTAAGTGTTTGCAAGTTTTTTGTATATGCTGCAAAAAGTAGCATTTGTCTACGTGCGAACGTAGGAAATTCTTATTGAAGTTCATTTATCTGATAAATTAGATAATATAGGCTGGGTCATATAGGGATCTATCAATTTTGCTTTCTCATAAGGACTATTCATAATCAGTACCTTACCGGCAATTGCTGGAAATTTCAAGAATTTTATTCAAGCTGTGAGTTTCTGTAGGAATGACCTATGTTTAAAGGAATTTTCAGGCCTTGACTTATTATTGTGACCAATGACAGAATAACTAAGTTTTGTAAGACGTGTATGTACATGTTATCTGCCATTGAGATGATATTTTCCAAAGTTCAGACTGGTTGTATACATTCATAACTTGCTAAATATTTTCCATTTTACTTTTAGACGAACTTAAATACTATGGTATGAGTAATGGAGCAGTTTCTAAAAGCAAGTAACAAAACAAGTCAACTTTTGGCGGGAAATGTTGCCGCAGACGGTTCTTTAAAGGACGATGATGTGCGCAATGACCTATGTTCTCAGTATAAGTTGACCACGTTGTTGGCCATAAGTGGATACACAATGGAGGCCCATATCCTTCTTGACAGGATTAAGAAGAACTTTATGCAGGTATATTTAGATTTTACATGTCACGTGACCAATTTGAACAATTATTTGTCTTTCATAGTTACACAAAATTTATGTTCATGGTCAACTGCCTACTAGTAGGCTCACTTTTTGTGAATAATAAACTACTTTTATTATCTTTCATTCAGACAGTCTAATAAATAAATATTTTAGTTTGCAACTGTTTATGCATTTAATTATTATGTTTAACTTTTTGAAGAAAAAAACCAAAAACAACCAGAAAAGGGTAAATTGTAAATTTTGGAATGCTGTACATTAAACATACATAGTGCACTCATCTAGTTTTTATCTTCATATATACCTAAAGTTACACATCCAAAAGACATTTGCACAAAATCTGCGTCTAATCATCATTGCCCATTTCTAATTATGATTTTAGAACTAGCTTTGACATGAATATTGTCTGGTTGACCTCTTACAAGATTGTTAATCCTGGGATCAAAATAAGTAATGTGTTTAACTTTCCCATATACACATGAAAATCTCCTGTTTTAATACAAGGACTAGAGCTTAGATACTTAGCTTGTAGACTTTCACCAAGATTGTTCAGATTAAAGCCCTGCATGAGGTCAAAATGTGTCCCGCCTGAAGGGTTTTAAGTTTTACACTATATACACATTAAACATTTAAGATATAACAACATCCTTTTTTCCCAATCTGTAAGGGCTAGAGCTTAGATATTTAGCATTAAGTAATATCTGGTAGACCTCTCCCAAGATTATACAATTTGAAATCACACACTTGGGATCATATGTTTTCACTGTATGTGTATAGTCAATAATTAAAATTGTTCTCTCAAAATCTACTTCACAAGTTTTGAGATGAAAACTTTGATAATTGTTAACCTAGATTTTGACTCAGTGACCTACTGTTTGTAACAGAGCTAGAGCTATGAAATTTGAACTTGTAGCACAGTTCAATTTTTGACCCAGATTTGACCACTGCGGGTGATCACTTGACCAAAATCGTACAATGGGCTCAAAAAAGGCGGCCTAAACGCTCGGTAAAAGCAGTAACATTGAAGTTAATATACATTTAACGTTAAATTTATATGTAAAACTAGGCTGCACGGAACTTCTCATATAAATTTAACGTTAACTGTATGCCTACCTCAATTTCACTGCTTTTACCGAGCGTTTAAGCAGCCATTTCTTGAGCCCATTGACCATTTTGGTCACCTGATCATCCGCACACAGTGTTGGACCAGTGACCTTCATTTTTGTATCTAAAACTTGCAGCTTTGACAATCGGACACGATGCTCTACATTTCACTTCACCCAGAATTGACCTTTTATATCAGCTAAACTAGATTTTGATCAGGTGACCTACTTAGAGCTTATTTATAACATTTGGACTCTATGCACAGTTTCAGATGAATAATTGAACTTTGACCTTGTTTTTTGCCCTGCCCAGTGGCCTAGTTTTTGTATAAAGGGCTACAGCATTTTAATTTTCAAGACATTGTTGTTTTCTTGGAGAATCCTTTTTTCTACAATAATCTACCTCAGAGGATGTTTAATGAGTAAAGGTGGAGCGTAGCCACCATCAATCAATGTTTTGTTACAGAATATGACGAAGTTATTTGAGGTTAGTCTTTTGTCAGTTGTTTAACTGGGAACACACTTTATTCTAATTACCATTTATTTCTGTGTGAATGTATATATATGCTTTGAGGAAAATACATGTACAGTAATTACTTTATTCTTCCATGTAAAGGCGAATGGAGATTTTATTTCGTACCCTGAGAAAAATGAGATAGGAAGAAAAAGTTCATCATTCCCAATGACACACTTTTGGTCGTATATGAATGCATGGATAGCAATGGGCGCCCAGAGATTAGGAAGGTAATGTTTTATATAGAATGTTAAGTTTTGTTTCAGGGTAAAAAATATATTTCACCGAGTAAAACACACATTCATGTCAACTCACAGATACTCGGGGTGTGGAGCTCCAAACGCCTTTAATATATATTTTTAAAAATTAATAGCTGTTTTGAAAAATATTTCATAATTCAACATCTAATATAATACACATATGATAAGTACACGTGTTGGGATTGACAAATATACATTTTATTTGGATTTAATGCGTTAAGGGCTCCACATCCCAAGTGCATGAGTGTCAATAAAGGGATTTTGAGCAGCCACACACAGAGGATTTAGTCAGATGGCTGACGATTTTGTCTGTTAACCTCGCTAATACTTAAAGACTTAATGCTGGACTTTCTTATCACAGATGATTTACAACGCTGTCATATTCACTGTTTGTTATCCTGTACTGGGTTTTATAAGGTAAAATGTGTTGTACTTGTTTTATGAGCTCATATTAATTGTATTTAGTCTGCCGATGTTTTGTGTCGATGTCTTGTGTGTAGGTCAATGTATTGCAGAACAAGAAAATAAGCATTTCACATTATCCAGTAGTGTATTGTGTGTGTTTTACTTGTTTTATTAGCTCCTGTATTTAGCCTCGTGAAGGCTTGTGTCGATATATGGGTGTAGATCATTTTGTCAAAAAAAAAACATATCTCTGATATTATTGGACAATATGTATATGACTTTGTGTAAAAAGAAAAGAAATTAAAACGAGTGTCTTTTATATGTATATATATTAGTACTTAACCATAGTATTGTTATGTTGTTTTTGTGTTTTATTGTTAAAGTTATTTCTTTTAGATTCGATATATCGTTTCCAGCTTTCGAATTCTGCAAGACTTTCTTTAACCCAGATTACAATTTAGCCTGTGTCACAGAGGCGTTTGATGAAGCAAATGGTGACTCAACTATGGACACACTGTCTACTGCTCACTTTGGACTTCTTTCCCTCTACATGGGCGGTATGTATTGTATGACGTCATTGCCTTAACTTAACCGAATTTACAATTGATAGAATTCGTTAAGAGATATTTTTATTCAAGTTGCTTGCTTGATAATAAATACTTCGCTGATTTCTGTTATCATAAATGATATTCTAACAACATGCCAAGTCTAAAGAAATTTTATTGAACAGTTTTAATTTTGCCTATATGTCTATATGAAAACTCCCGAAAACGTCCTTAACACGAAAGTAGTTCTCGCCAAATTGGTCTTATTGTTGTTAGTGCCGAACTACAACTAAACTTAAATCAGCGAAGTAAAAATTATCCAACAGGCAGGATATTTATTGACTCCTCTAATGAAAAGATCTGAAGTTATTTTTGGCATTCGCAGTTGCAAGTGAATTCAAGTAAGTGACAGAGACGTCCTTAAAAATATAAAATACATTAACATGTTACATGTACATGTGTGAATTGTATGGATAAGCATGAAAATATACAAAAAAATGTATAAACATTAATTGATCTGCAGACATTTTTAAACAATGGTTTATATTTTTTTGGATTTTTTTTTTCAGATTTGGAAAAAGCAAAGTTATGCGGAGAAGGCCTACTCAATCTAAAGGCTGTGCAACCAAACCTTGAAAACGAACTTCTTTTACGAATGTCAGTAAAGACCGGTGCTCTTATTGCAAACCCTCCAAAAAATATGGAACCTTTCTTTGTCGTAAAAAGGGATTCACCAAATCAGTTATATTTTTTCCTTGGTTATCATGGAATTTTTATGACAAAACTGTACCAAGTTACAAAGGATCAGATATTTCTAGATAGTGCAAAGGCGATGATTAATTTTGCTTTAGCTTGCCACGAGAGTATATATACATTCAGTTTCAGCCACAAGGTAGCGTACGCTTCAGCTCTTCTGGCAGTGGAGACGAAGGAGGAAAAGTATTGCACGTTAGCTTTAAAGATTGGAGAGTATTTAATCTCTATGATAAGTGAGGACGGATATTTCTGTAAAGAGATGGAGCCAATTGATAAGTATGATCAATCAACAGAAATAGCTATTTGGTTACGAGAAATTAACAATGAATTGCAGAAAAACTAACTGTGATTTTTTCCTATAACGACATTTTTATCTTCTTGAAAGAAGGGTAAGCGTCAATAAAGCAGGCAATTTGTAATCGTTTTTTTGAGGACATAATACAAAATTGTTGATGACTTGTTTTATACAGACAATAATACATGTATACGACTTGTATACAAAAAATGAAATAATTTTGTTGGTATATGGACATGTCATATATATTCTTGCAGTTATGTTCTTTGTAATAATCACTGTATGTAATAATCCCAGTCTGTAATAATCAATTCGTCAATCTAAACGCCAATCATGGTTATAATATGTTTCAAGTATTAATTCAAATATTCCTATTAGGAAAGTCTGGGATGCAGTACGAACAATAAGTGGTAAGTATAAGAAGAGTCCAACTGTTCACTGAAAAACTGGTGATGGCCTATATGCCAAAACAAAAACGGATATTGGAAAAACTTTGGCTAAAACTTTTGAAAAGAACTCATCTTCAAACAATTATTCAAATGAATTTCACAGCTGAGAAAGAGCATATTAATTTTACTTCAACAAACGATGAATGACTTAATTTATTCAATCAAAACTGCAAAAGATAGTGCTGCAGGCCCGGAGGAAATTTACTACCAGTTTCTTAAACATTTACCAACCCAATCTCTTGACTTGCTTCTTGACATTTTTAACAAAATTTTGGTATCTGGTAAATTTTCCAAGACTTGGAAAAATGCTTTGGTTATTCCTATCCCTAAACCTGGAAAAGATTCAACTGACCGTACAAACTATCGTCCAATTTCACTAGCAAGCTGCCTCTGCAAAACATTCGAGAGAATGATAAATAATCGCTTAGTTTGGTATCTAGAAAATTATGGAATTATCACTTATTTTCAGTCAGGTTTTCGTGAACAGCGAAGTAAAAACGATCATCCTGTACGACTTGAAACTTTTATTAGAGAAGCCTTTGTATATAAACAACACCTGGTATCACTTTTCTTTGATCTTGAGAAGGCTTACGATACTACATTGAAATATGGTATCCTAAAACATCTAAAGGATGCTGGACTTAAAGACAGACTTCCTCTTTTCATGTCTGGATTTCTAAACGATAAATACTTTAAAGTAAGACTTGGTTCAACTTTTTCTATGACCACCAACAAGAGCAAGGTGATCCTCAAGGAAGCATACTTTCTGTTACACTTTTTGGCCTTAAAATAAACAATATTTCTAGCGCTCTTACACCAGGCATAGATTGTTCCCTATATGTAGACGATTTTCCTATCTGCTTTCGATTAAAAAGTATGAGAACAATTGAAAGGCATCTTCAACAAAATTTAGATAAAATTCAAAACTGAGCAATAGAAAATGATTTCAAATTTTCAAAGTCGAAAACTCAATGTGTTCATTTTTGTCGATTTTTGCGGAAACACCATAATGACCCTGAACTTTACATATCTGGTACTAAAATTCCAGTAGTTTATGAAGCTAAGTTTTTAGGAATTATATTTGATAAATAGCTTTCTTTTATACCACATATTAAATATTTGAAAACTAAATGCCTAAAAGCTTTAAATTTAATAAAGTTTTTATCAAGTACAAATTGGGGATCAAATTCTTCCACATTACTGAAATTATACAGAAGTCTTATCCGATCAAAATTATGGGTCTGCAAGAAAATCATTTATTTTATGCTTTTCAGTGGATTACTGATTTATCCGTGAAAATTATATTTGGTAATTTCACAGTGAAAATTATCAAAATATACTTTCAATCTTTTCAATGACGAAACTACTGTTTTAAGATTTTCCCCATGTGGTACCTCAATTTTATTTTTGCTGACAATTCTGACAATGTCAGGCAGTTTAAAGAAAAAACAAAGCTGAAATTGATAAATAACTTAAATGTCAAAAGTAATAAAAAGAAGAAAACTTACATCTATTCATTCAAATTCCAATCACCAAATTTCGTCTCTAAATTTTTTTGTTTCATTTTTACAGTCTGAAATATACATTCCTTCCCCATGCAAAACTGCTCTTGATGACATTTGGGCATATTTAAGTATCCTACGACCAATAACTGCCGTATGCTTTATGAAAAATTGACAGCCATCACTCGAAGAATAAGTAAAACAACCCAGCGTTCTTGAGCAAGCTTCCAAGTTTTCCATTTGCCTAGCTCCTTTTCTGAATGTTTTCACATCTGTCAACACTTATTTTTTGTCTGTTACAATCCTAAAGTAAGTTTTCTTTCTTTCAAAAAGGTGTATGACTAACAAATCCAAATTATATCCCTCTGAATCTTACACAATTATTTTCCTCCCATGAAATACACAACTTTAAAAAATGGCTGCCGCTTACATTTTACAAAGCCAGGTCTAATAAAAATTCACAGTAAGTAACAGAAATATGGATGGATGGTTGGACTTTTTCTCCTACAAGAATTGTTTGTTTTTATTATTAAAACAAGCGATCATTCATATTTTGTTAATAAAATGAAAAAATATCACCGTCATTTAACGTTGATTGGTGGACTTATTTTTCAGCTCAAAATTCTGGAAACAAAGTAAACAAAGTCCTCAAGACTTCTTGTTTTGAATGAGAAATTCCGACTAAATGGGGCTCTCAATGGGGGAAACAGTTTTAATATTAACGTTAAAATTATGGAAATTTCGTTTAAACTTGTTTTTAAGCATAAAATAAAAAGAAAATGTGTCTGTTTGTTGTGTAAGATGTAAGTTTATTTCATCTCGTGAACTTTAAAAACAGTATTCTCACGTGGCGTAGTCACTCGTGAGAATACTTTTTTTAAAGTCCACTCGATGAAATAAAATTTAATCTTACACACAAACAAACAAATATCCTCTATATCTTCAAATGTAAGATATCATACATAACCAGGGTTTACGTTAAGCTTTAGGTGTTTTTCGCACCTCACCTGTAGAAAGTCTATATGCGGAAGCTGGGGAAACCGTCGCTTCATCTTCGTCGAAAAAAGCTACCACTTTAATATGCAACTAGAATTTCATCTAACAGCAGAAATCCAGCTAAAAATATAATTTTCAAAGTTATACTGAAAAATTGTTAACAAACCAAAGAAAATTAAACCATTAGGCCTTCGTTTAAAAGATGATTTAGATAAACTTAAAATTTATCCGGACAGTATCCTTCAAAATGACGATAAGGATATTCCACCTTGGTCTATCCCCGGAAATAAATATTAACCTTTCAAATATAAAAAGTCATCAAATTCACCTGAACATTTCAAAGAGAAGTTTCTAGCAATTAAGGAAGAACATGAAGATTTTATACATATTTATACGGACGGTTAAATAATTTTACATCTAGCATGAGGTTACCAGATAATGCATCAATCTTACTGCTGAAGCAAAAGCTATAGATTTAGCATTGTCATACATAGTACAGCATACCCATGATAAATTTGTGATATTTTCTGACTCGCTTTCTGTTTTAATATCCATTAAAATAAAAAATCTGACAATATCATGATAAGGAACTTCTTTTACGATTTCATGATTTACTTAAAACAAAATCTGTTAAATTATATTGGATTCCAAGTGATGTAGGTATACGTGGAAATGAAAAAGTAGATGCTTTAGCTAAACAATCATTAAATTTTCAAAAAACTGACTTATTGTTACCCGCTTGTGATTTTAGACCGGCCATAAACAAACTAGTATCATCTGAATGTAACAATGCCGTTTTTAAAATAAACTTCACGATATAAACCCATCTCTTGATGTGTCACCATCTCTATCTTTGTCAAACCGCCATGATCAAACAGTTCTTCTTCGATGCCGAATTGGACACATTAAAATAACCCACTTTTATCTCCTCACGAATGACAATTATGGAACGCCATAGCTGCCTCATGTTATTACATTTCTTTTTATCTTGTCCAGAAAGCGTCTTATTATGTCAAATATAAGCGTTGTAATGCCATTGTAATTTGTCGACTTGTCTAAACATTGCCTTATTATACCTAACAGTAGTCTTATCTCTAAAATGTGATGTTGACTTGTGTTAGCATTGTTTAATTATTTCAAACAGTAGTGTTATCATGTCAAAAATGGCGTTTTGTCTTGTCTGAAATGTGTTATATTATGTCAACTAGTCGTGCTATTTGGTCAAATTGTGGAGCTGTTTTTTCAAAAGACTGTCTGATCATTTGAAACAGTAGTGTTTTCTTGTCGGAATTTGGTGTTGACTTGTAAAAGCACAGCTTTATTTTATCAAAATGTCATGTCATTTTGTCAAAATACGGTGTTTAAATGCCTAAACATTGTCTTATTGTGTCAAACAACTGTGTTAATTTGCCAACGTACACTACTATATTGTCTTTATATATCAAATATTCGAATTAGCTTGCTGAACTAGGGTGTTGACTGGGCTAAATGATGCATTATTATGATAAACTGTATGCTATTTTGTCAAAAAGTAGTTTTGACTGGTTAAAACTCAGTCTTATAAAGTCAAAAAATTGCGGTATCTTGTCGAAATGTGGTAATGACTTGTCTTAACCCTTTCTTATAATGTAAAACAGAAGTGTTATATTGTCGAAATTTGATGTTTTCTTGTAAAAAAAGAAACAGTCTTATTATGTCTAATAATTGTGTAAATTTCTTCAAACTCAGTTCTGTCTTGAGAAAGCGCTGTCTGATTTTGCTTAACTGTCCCGTTATCTTTTTTGCTCTATCTTTTATAGCTCCGCGCCGGCTCTAGTCACGTGATACTAAATTTTGACAACATCGCATCTGGACAGGATAACACGATTATCTGAGACGGAATTAAGATATGTTAACGTCATAAACTGGCGAGTCAACGCCACTGTATTACATAATGATACTGTGTTTCAACAAGTAAACACCACATTTGAAAAGGAAAAAAGATACTTCGCCATAAAAGGACGATGTTTAGTAAAAATAACACCGGTCTTTTTGACAAAATAAAATGACACTTTGACAAAAAGATAGCAATATTAAACAAGTCATCACCACGTTTCGACAAGATGATATGACTATTTGACATAATAAGACAAAGATAGACAAGTTGAATCTGCATTTGGACATAATAGTATGCCAGTTTGACAAATTAAATTAGCGTTTTAACAGTTCATAACCATAATTGGTAAAGATACCACCATTATTTCACATAATCA